CTTGAAGCCTTCCCAATAAGATTAGGGGTGAAGCAAGGATGTCCATTATCACCACTATTATTCAATATTGCACTAGAAATGTTAGCTATAGCAATAAAAAAAAAAAGAAACTGAAGGAATAAAAATAGACAAAGGAAACAAAACTATCACTCTTTGCAGATGATATGATGGTATGCTTAGAGAACACTAGAGAATCAACTACAAAACTAGTTGAAACAAATAACAACTTTATTTTTATACGAAAAATATAAAGTAAACTCAGATAAATCATCAGCATTTCTATGTACTACCAACCAAACCCAGCAGCAAAAGATAGAGAAATTCTACTTTAAAAAAATGCAGATAACATAAAATATTTGGGATTCTACGTACCAAGACAAACCCAGGGATTACATACTTTTCACACAAATAAAGACATATCTAAACAACTGAAAAAAGTCATTGTTCATGGGTAGGACAAGCCAACATAATAAAAATGACAATTCTATCTAAATCAATTTACACAACAATCAAACTACCAAAGAACTCCTTTATAGAGCTAGAAAAAAAAATAACAAAATTCATCTGGAAGAACAAAAAGTTAAGCATATCAAGGCAATCAATGAAAAAAAAAATGTGAAGAAAGGCTGCCTTAGCAGTACCAAATTTCAAACTATATTACAAAGGGGTAATCATCAAAACAATCTGATACTGGCTAAGAAATAGAGTGGTGGATCAATGAAATAGATTAGGTACACAACACACAGTAGTAAATGACCATAGTAATCTAGTGTCTGATAAATGCAAAGATTCAAGCTTTTGAGGTAATTACTCACCATTTGACAAAAATTGTTGGAAAAACTAGAGACCAGTTCGGCAAAAACTAGGCCTAGACCAACATCTCACACCAACATATGGTCAAAATGGATAAATGATTTTGACATAAAAGGTGATATTATAAGTAAATTAGGGGAGCACGGAAAAAATGTACCTGTCAGATCTATGGATAAGAGTTTATGACCACACAAGAGACAGAGAGGATCATAGGAAGTAAAAGCAATAATTTTGAATGTATGAAATTAAAAAGCTTCTGCACAAACAAAACTAACGTAGACAAAATTAGAAGGAAAACAGGAAACTAGGGGGAAATTTTACATGCAGTAAGTTTCTCTGATAAACACCCCATTTCTCAGATTCTTTAGGGAAATGAGTCAAATTTATAAAAATAAGAGCTATTTCCCAATTGATAAATGGTCAAAGGATACAAACAAACAGTCACTTTTCAGAAGAAATCAAAGCTATCAATAGTCACATGAAAAATGCTCTAAATCACTACTGATTAGAGAAATGCAAATTAAAACAACTCTGAGCTACTACCTCACACCTATCAGATTAGCTATCATGACAGAAAAAGAAAATGACAAATGCTGAAGGAGATGTGGAAAAATTAGGACACTAATGCACTGTTGGTGGAGTTGTGAAGAACTGGTCTAACCATTCTGGAGAACAATTTGGAACTACACCCAAAGGGCTATACAACTGTGCAAACCCTTTGATCCAACAATACCACTATCAGGTTTATATTCCAGATTTCAAAAAAAAAAAAAAGGGAAAAGGACCTATTCATATAAAAATATTTAGAGCAGCTCTTTTTGTAGTTACAAACAATTGGAATTTGAAGGGGAGCCCATCAATTGGGGAACGGCTGAACAAGTTGTGGTATATGATTGTGATGACATACTATAAGAAATACTATAAGTGCTATAAGAAAGGATGAACAGGATGATTTCAGAAAAACTGGGAAGACTTATATGAACTGATGTAAAATGATGAGCATAACCAGGAGAACACAGTACACAGTAATAGCAATATTATAAGGATGATCAACTGTGAAAGACTTAGCTACTCTTATTAAGACAATGATCCAAAACAATTCTAAAGGATCCACAATGAAAAATGCTATATCAGAGAAAGAAGTAATGAACTATGAATGCAGATTGAAGCATACTTTTTTATTGTTATTTTTCTTGAATTTTTTTTTTTGGTCTTTATTTTCTTTTGCAGCAATATGGCTACTATGGAAAAACATTTTGCATGACTTTGTACATAATTGATATCAAATTGCTTGCCTTCACAAAGGAGGAGGGTGTGGTGAGAGGGAGAGAAATTTTTTAAAACGAATGTTTAAAAAATGTTTACATGTAATTGGGAAATATTTAACAAATTAAAAAATATGTTAAAGAAAATGGAGAGAGGTGCATGGTAGGCACAAGTACATTAAAGCATATTTCCAATGAATGACCAGTAAATCACATAAGATATTGGCTAGTTGCTTGCGGAAATTGTTGTCTGTAATTGAAATTGTTAAATTTAACCTATATGTGTCTTTGAGTTTTCAAGATAGCAATCTGTAGATTCTTTGAATTGGCACTTTGTTTTCTGTTTTCAGAAGTTCTGGACAGTTTTCTTGTATTTTTTTCTTCCATTATGGTGTTTGAAGTTTTTGACTGGTCGTGTTCTTCTGGAAGACATACACAATTCTTAAATTGTCTCTTACATATCCCATCTTTGAGATCAGTATGTTTTACCTGTACGTAAATTATGTTTGCTTCTAACATTATTGCTTTTTGCTTTTCTTCTTCCAGACTGTCCTTCACTTCCGTGTATTTACATTCTCGATCTTTGTTTTTTCTTTTGTTTGCCACCACTGATTCATGTTTTTCTATTTTGCCCATTATTTCTTCTGTGCAGGCTATAAATTCTGCTTTCATGATCCTTAGTTCTCTTTTAAACCATTCAGGAATAGCCAGCTATGGTTCTATGCTCTCTTGGGAATCCATAATCCTCTGCCTTATCAAGTATTGATTTATTTTCCTTTGTCTAGCAATATTTATTCATAGATGTCTGGATTTGTTTAGCTTAGGTAGAGGTCATGTTCCTTTCTGGTACTTATATTGACCATTTATTTATCTGCTTATACTCAAGGTCTTCAAGAGTTTTCTTCCTCCTGAGATCTTTGGTAACTTCAGTCATTTTTCCTTATTGTTCACTTTCTTAATCCTTCTTTAATTACAATTCTCCTGGAGACTGGACTTTCATACTGGGCAATTCATATTTCTCTGACCTCAATCTCTGCCTTAAGTCACTTTGAGGAGACAGAACTAGCTCCAGCTGGATGTCAGCCCCCTTTCCTTCAGGCATAATGGACACTGCCATACACTGGTATCCTGTTCCAGTTTTCTCAGTTCTCTAGCAGCACAGAGAACTGCCATGCTGCAGTCCTAGTCTCCCAAGCTTCTGCCTTTTGGCTTTCCAAAGCACAAGAGGAGGGGAGAATTGAGTTCTGTTCTAAGTTCATGGGTTGCCTTGTGCAGACCTGGCTGAGCATTGTGGCTGGTAAGGGAAGGAGTGCTGAGTAAACACTGTAGGGGTTAGGGATTCTTTGTTATTAGCTTATCTAGTTGTTTCCTTGTTAGCTTCCCTCATGTTTTAACCTGTAGAGACAGATGAAATTGCTTTATCCCTTGCACATAATTCCTCTTTTGGAGGGGTTTGAGAGGTCATAAGGATCAGGGAAAGTGGCTAGTCCATAATTCTGTTGCTCACCTAACTTAGAAGTCCACATGAGATATCAAGTCAAGAAGTATTTATTAAGTACCCACTATATGGCAGGTACTGTGATAAGAGCTGGAGTTACAAGAAAGGCATAAAATAATCCCGGTCTGTAAGGAACTCACAATTGAATGGGGAAGACAAGTAAACAAAGATGTATAAAGAGGCTATACACACAACTAAATGGAGATATTTCAGACGGAAGTCAAGAGAACCTGAAGAGACTTCTTGTAGAAGGTGGGATTTTATTTAAAACCTGAAAGAAGATAGGGAAGCCAGGAGGTGGATTTATAGAGAGAGAGCATTCTAGACACAAGGGACAGCAAGTGAAAATGTGTGGAGTCAGGACATGGAGTGTCATGTGTAAGAAACAGAAAGGAGGCCAAAGTCATTTGATCATAGAGTATCTGTGAGTTCCCTGAAAATAAAAACTGTTTTTTTGTCTCTCTTCATATCCCAGGCAGAGTACCTGGCACATAGTAGGTGCTTATTAAATGCTTGCTGACTTGACATTAGTAAGGTTTAAGAAGACTAGAAAAGGTTATGGTGATGAAAAACTTTAAAAGCCTAACGGAGGATGTTATATTTGATCTTCTAGGTTATAGAGAGCCACTTGAGTTTATTGAGTAGAGGATTTACACAGTCAGACCTGGGCTTTAGAAAGATTCTGAGAGCTAGGGGGAAGAGAGACTTGAAGCAACGAAGGCAACCAGAAGGCTATTGTAATAGTATAGGAAGGGGAGTAATGAGGGCCTGGACCAAAGGGATATAAATATCAGAAAGAGAGAAGGGATTATATACAAGAAATATTACCATAGAAATGTATGATCAGAAAAGGTGGGCTGGTTAAACGGTGTATATAAGGCAAAGTAGATGGACAGCCATCTATATTCCACTAGAACCCTCAAAAAGAAAAAGAGGAAGGCACACTAGTCAGAACCTCTGTGGAGGAACTATGTAAGAAGAAGGACAAAAATTATGCAGGATGAAAAGGGTTATGATCCATACCAATGGAGGAAAACTCTCATCTATGAAATGTCAAATCCATTGAAATATAAGAAGTACAGATTGGTAGTAAAGTAGAGTGTAAACAGTACTCCATTTGTAGTCAGGGGACCCATGACCCGAGCTCTGCTACTTACTAGCAGTGTAATCTTGGGGTGGTCAGTTTAATGCCTCCATGCCTCAATTTCCTCATCTGTAAAATGAGGGGGTTGGATTAGATGATCTATAAGGTCCCTTTCCAGTTCTAAATCCTATGATTCCTAGCATGTCTAAGAAAGTAGGTTGTACAATGCCAGGGAATGTATCATTTCTTGAATTAACTTCTTCATCAAATATCTCGTATATGGTTTGATACACACAGCAGAGACTCAAAAGTGCCATCAGTAAACATTCACTAAACTTACCAACTTTCAGAAAAGTTTTCAGTTCCAAAGGTCGGAGCACTGGCTGTTTCTCTAAACGACCATAAGTTTCTGCTATGTTCTCTACTTCCACTTTGGGACACTTAAACAACTCATAAGTCCCATCCCGGTTCTGGATAAAGCTCCGGGTGATTTCCAAGGGCATCTGATCACAAAGACAACACCAGAAAGAATTAGAAGGGACAAATCTTTACTAAAGGAGACAGAAAATTCAATGATTTTAAAAAAAAAAACTCTTACTGGTTTGGTACATTCAAATAATACTTGATTTCTCCTTTTCCCGTGTACCTCAAGATTATTCTGTCAGCAAACTCTGCCCTTTTTTCTGCACATTATTTACATCCATGCTTTACCTTTTGCATCCACAGTGCAATCCTTAGTGTGAATCAAAGCAAGATTATCTCCAGTAATCATTGCAACTTCACTCTGGTCTACTTACCTCCAGTACAGTTCCTTGGATTGTAGTCAAGCTTATTTTTTCATGTGCCCATCACCCACCATTCCAAATAAAGCTCTCCGCCTCACTTTCTTATTGAATTCTCCTCCTTCCTTGCCCTCTTTCCTCTATCCCGTTCCACCCCACCTCGAAACTACTTGTGAACTGCCCTGAGGTAATTACTGAAGTCACTGTATATCTGCAGTGTCCACACAAACTACATATAAGCTACTACAAAGCACATATAAGCTACATAGCCCCTATAAAAGTCGGTTATCTTTCTTCTGCAGATGTGGTATGACTTATCAATGTAATCTGGTGTTGAATTAGTTGCATTACATTAGCCTTTCCATTGCAAAACTAACTCTCAACTAATAATATAAATCTTTTTTCTTACCAAGCCTTCTTTTATCTGCCTGAGGGAAAGTTTTTAAATTGTTCAAAGATTCACTCAGGGACTGCAAAACACTAATACATGATTAGTTAAGTGGAATTAGCTATGACAAGAACTCCAGGGGGCAGCTAAGTGGCGCAGTGGATAAAGCACCGGCCCTGAAGTCAAGAGGACCTGAGTTCAAATCCAGCCCTGAAGTCAAGAGGACCTGAGTTCAAATCCAGCCTCAGACACATAACACTTACTAGCTGTGTGACTCTGGGTAAGTCATTTAACCCCAACTGCCTCGCAAGAAAAAAACAACAACAACAACAATAAAAACAACAACCAAAAAAAAACGAAAAAACAAAAATAAAAAACAAGAACTCCAGTTCTACAGAAGTTTGAGGTAAAGGCCTAATTACCTGCACATCCAGCATATAATCTTTGCAAAGCCTCAAACACTTTCAAACTGCCTGCCATTAAAATCAAAGAAATCAATAATGATCTGAAAATTATAAGTCTCTTAATAGTAGCCCTATCATTACTTGACTTATGTGTAAACACATATCAGAGAAAGATCCTCCCAATACCACAGGTTACTAGGTTAAAGGCACACAGCTAAATTCAATATCCTTCTCTCAGAAGGCCTCCTTCCCCCTGGACCTCTGCAGTTTCTGATGCTGCTGACCACCCTTTTCCCCATCACTCTCTGCTGCCGTGGTTTCAATAACATTGCTCTTTCCTTGTTCTTCTCTTTTCTCTGATCCCTCTTTATCTCCTGCGCTGGATTACCAGCCATGATGACACTCACTCCCTCCCTAACCATGTATGTCTCCTGAGGCTCTCTCCTGGACCTGCTCTTCTCTGCACATACTTCCTCTTGGAAATCTCATCAGTTCCCATGAATTCAATTACAGTCTTTATGCAGATAAACACTAAATTTATGTATCCAGCCCCAGTCTCTCTCCTGACCACCAGCGCTATGTCATCAGCTTCCTGTGGGAACGTCTTGCCCGAGATGGCCCACTGTCATCTCAAACTCGACAAACCCAACAGGGAATTCATTAACATACCCACAAAGTCTGTCCCTCTCCCAAACTTCCCTGTTTGTGTTGAGAAAACCACTATCCTGGTCACTGAGGTCTGCTACCACGGAGAGATGTGCTCTCTAGCCCTCCCCCTCTATATCCATTTGCTGGACAAGTCTTCTCCTTTCTACTTCTGCAACCTCTCACATCCATTCCCTTCCCTTGTTTGGCCACTCATCACTCCTTACTCAGGCTATTGCTGTAGCCTACTGATTTGTCTGCTCGCTTCCAGAATCTTCTCAGTGCCTCCTCCAAACAGCTGCCAAAATAATCTTCCTACTGCATAGTCACCTCAGTCCTCACAACACTTCTATGGCTTGACACTTCCTACAGGATAAAATCTAAGTTCTTCAGTTTGGCATCTAAAGCTTTTCCCAATATGGCTCTAGCCTGACTCTCACCTTCTTTATTCTACATTTCAATCAAACTAGATTATCTGCCGTTTCCTGCCTGAACATGGTGTTCCAGCTCCCCCTCAATGTACTTGTTAATCTTTCCATGCCTGGAATGCACTCTCCCCTCCTAACTTCCAACTCTTTGAATCTCTTAGCTCAACTCAAATGCCACTTCCCACAGTAAGGTTTTCTTGATCTAACTAGTTGTTAGTGTTCTCACCAGTGGTAAGCTAGTAAATGCTCTACAGTAGCTTTCTGCAAAAAATGTACGCCAACACACTTTTTTTTTTTTTGGTGAGGCAATCAGGGTTAAGTGACTTGCTCAGGGTCACCCAGCTAGCCAGTACACTTTTGAGTTTAATCTGAAGTAATAACATTTTGTCTATCCAATGTCCATCAAATTTTTAAGTCTAGATAATCAATAAAACAATTAATCAAGCCCTGATTTGTACCATTTGTTGATTTTTGAGATACAAATGCTCACACTGAAAATTTAATAATCAGCTCTCATCACAAGTTGGTATGAACTGGCTCCAGCATACCTCTGGTTCCCTCTCCTCAAATCATCATAATTTTGGAGTTGGAAGGAACTTCATCAGCCATCTAAGTTCAATCCATACCCAAAAAAGGAATTCCCCCACTATCGCATATCCAACAATTAGCCATCTAACCCTGCTTGAAGACCTCCAACAAGGCAGTCAACTGCACTCTTGGACTTGACATCAAGTCTAAATTTGCCTTTTTACAACTCCAACCCACTGTTTCTACTTCTGTCCTCGGCAGCCAAAATTGAAAAAGCCTAATTGCTCCTCCATATGACAATCTTTCAAATTCTTGAACAGAAGTTACCATGTCCCTTCCTAAGTCTTCTCTTCTCTAGGTTAAATATCCCCAGTTCCTTCAATCAATCTTCCTGGCATAGACTGATGGCCCTCCAATATTGAGTGACACTCCAATTTATCAATGTCTTTCCTACAGTGTGGGGCAAAGGACAAAAATCATGCAGATATTTATCTAAATACATATTAAATCCTTGTCAGGTCTTTAAGGGAAAGGACTATTTCTCATTTTGTCTTTGTAGCTCCAGTGTCTTGTACACAGTAGGTGCTTAAATATGCTTAGTGAATGAATAAACATTTTTTCTCATTAGGAAGAATACTTAAAACCAAAGAAGTCAAACAAAGCTACCAATCCATCTATATCATCTCCAGCTACAAAAAAGAGGAGAGCCTCTGCAATTAAATGAACTGTTACAAAAGGCTACCTGGGTTGTCATAAGAGTTGGAGCTGGAATAGGCCTCATTTTGTAGAAGAGGAAACTGGGGCCCAGAGTGGCAGCCAAGACCCTACCCCAAGTAAGGAGGAGGATGAAGATTCCAAGCTGTGTTTTCCTGCTCCAAATCCAGTGCTTTTCAGCTACACTACATGGGTCTTACCAAGAAGACTGTGACATGTAATAAAGTAATGAACTGACATTTCTTTGAATAATAAACTTTTTTTAACAGCAGAAGGAGAGACCATCTTTAAAGGCAGCACCCCATAAGAACTCGAAATGGCAAGAATCACACATTAAGATCTGTGTCTGTGTCACATTTCTGTGCTTTTTCTCCAGACAGTTGTGATAACAAACTTCCCATACCTCTGGGGTGTCTAAGATTTGCTTAACCTGCAGGATATTTGTGATGTGCCAGGTGTATTTAGAGAAGGTCCCCAGCGGCAAGGCATCTTTTCGCACAAAAGCTGCAATTAAAAAGGGGACATAGTTAATAATTATAGCTGACATTTATATAGAGCTTTAAGGTTTACTAAAAGCTTTACACAATAGTCTCTTTGATTTCATTTATAGTTACTAAAGGGTTAGCGATGCAATGCTGTTCTTTCTTTACATGGAGATTTATAACTTTTAAAATACACGGGGACTGCCTAATGGCACAAGACCAAAGATTTCACTGTGGAATTCTTGCCATGAAAAGTCTGTGTAGTGCTGCTTTTGGATTTTCTTTCACAATCACATAGAATCATAGAATTTAGAGGTGAATGAGTCCTTAAAAATCATCTAGTCCAATTTTATCTAGATCATCTAGTCCATTTTATACACAAGAAAACTGAGGCCTAGAGAATGAAAGTGATTTGCCCCAGGTTATGTGGATAATAAGAACCTGGATATGAACCCAAGTCATAGGACAACAGGATCACAGATTTAGAGCTAGAAAGGAAGGGGCCTTATTGATTATCTAGTCCAACCTAATTTTACAAATAAGGAGACTCAGGCTCCAAGAAGTGAAGGGACTTGCCCAAGGTCGTAAAAGGTCACATGAGTGATCTGTGGCACAGTCAGGATTTGAACTCATTTCAAATCTGGTGTTCTTTTATAATACTATGCATCCTCTTTTTGATATGTAATACATATGCTATTGTTATCTACTCCTGCTTTGGAATTTCATCTCTCTGCTTACATAAAAGTGATTACACAGAAAAGGCCCAATCATAACTGAGCTGGTTATTACAAGAATTTGCACATGCCAAGGTCAAATCATATCCCCAAAGTAAGTACATATGATAAAAGTTTTCTGATTTCTCTATTCTGAAGGAGGCAAGTTTCATGTGGAAGACACAGCAAAGGTTTCCAGCGCTAATATTCCCAAAGGCAGGGATTTATGGGAAGTATTATTCGAAAACTGGGTCATAAGCATTTCTAGAAATCAACATCCTCTCATCAAATAATATTTACAGAGGAAGCAGCATGTATTCCCAACTATAGCTTCCTTAGGTGGCCTACCACTAATGATTTACCCCCAATAGATTGTGAGCTCCTTAAGGACAGGGACATTTTTTGCCTTTCTTTGTATCCCCTGCATTTAGCAGTGTCTAGAATAGAGTAAGCATTAAATAAATGCATGATCACTTGTGAACTAAATACTCTTCTCTGTCTTTTCTTCTCTACTCCCAGCTGCTTAATATTAAAGTTACTAGACCGAAGTTCAGTATTTTCAGATCTTTGGTAAAAAAAAAAAAAAAAAAAAGCAACAAAGCTAAGAAATAAGTAAACCAAAAAAAAAAGTGATAAAGCTCAGAAATAAGTAAAACAAAATGAAGATGTAATGACATAAGTATATTAAGTCTGAGAGTTATTTGGACCTTCAAAATAAAAATCTGCTAACACCCAAACCTGATAGCCACAGAAAAAAACAAAAAACAAAAAACTGGTCATCAAAAAGCCAGGCAAATTCTAACTATTGTACCCTATGATATTTTGGGAAGTAATTATCCAGATCCAGAAAACATCAAACTTCAGGATAAGGACCTCTTCAGTAATATCACTTCATCCTTTTAATTTTCCAGGTTTGAAACTCCTTGAATCACTTGATTAATCTGAATTATAATGAAAATGACCTTTTAAGAGTGGGGTCAATATTCCAAGCCTATGTTAGCACCAAACCCTGCCCCATGTTACTTGCACATGACTCTGCAAGGCTGGCAGAAAACCACCACTAGAAGTATCCAAAAGGATAGCTTCACATTCGATGCCATGAGGCCAGGAGGTCTGATTAGTCTTCCTGAAAGACCCTGTACCTGTAGTGGAGTTGGGGAGCCTTTTCTTTGCACTTCCAACAGAGATCCTCTGTTGTAGGGCATCAAAGAAGGACTGGGGAATGTGGAACACCAATGGCTCTGGTTTGCCTACAAAAAAAGAAAAGGAACTGAAGTAAAGAAACTAAAAGAACATTCTGATGGGAAAAATGGACATGATATTAAAGATCAATAACACTTAAGTTATTACTGTCAGTGAGGTTTCTTCACATAGAGGCAAGAGGTGAATGTATAGTTTGGATTTTTATCTCATCAGCTTTTGTTGGTGAAGAAAGGTTAAAATAAGTCAATCTCACCTAAGTCAGAATCAGCTCTAGACCTAAAGCTAGGATCCCATTTGATCATTAAAATACACGATCAAATTTTACAAACAAGTCTCTACTATCAGTATTTTTCTCTAAGTATATCAGCTTGTTTTAATGACCATACCAGACACACAAAAAGCAGAAAGTTAGGGTTAACAAGAATTGGTCAAAGTTGAAACAGAAAGGTTTAGAGAATGAATCCTATAGCTTCAGAGCTGTCCTGCCAAAGCTCTGCCTTTTCCCAACAGATGGCTGGTACAGGCAGGTGGAAAGCATTCAGGATCATTTGCTCTAATTGAATAATGCCCTCTACCTGCCAGCTTCATTCTTTACAACTCTTCTAATACTGTAGATGGCACCACTGTCCTCCCAGTCACCCAGGCTTGAAACCTTAGTGTCACCCTCACGTAGGCAAGGAAGAACTCATGAAGTCTTGTCATTTCTACATTTAGAATCTCTAGTGTACACTTATCCATCTGTCCACTCAGCCTCCACCCTGCTGTGAAGCATCACCTCACACCTGGACTATTATAATAGCCTTCTAATCAGTCTTCATCCTTCAAGTCTGACCACTTCATCCTCCTCTCAGTTGCCAAAGTGATTTCTCCAAAATGCAGATCTAGGGGCAGCTAGGTGGTGCAGTAGATAGAGCACCGGCCCTGAAGTCAGGATGGACCTGAGTTCAAATCCAGCCTCAGACCAAACACCTGACATTTACTAGCTGTGTGACCCTGGGCAAGTCACTTAACCCCAGTTGCCTAAAAATCAAAAAAAAAAAAAAGAAGAAGAGAAAAACAAAATGCAGGTCTGATCATGTCACCCCACTACTCGATAAATTCCAATGGTTCCCTATTACCTCCAATATTAAATATAAAATGCTACTTTTCCAGTCTCGCTAAACTTTACACCCCTCCCTCTATACTGCAATCTAACTCAAGGGCCCTTCTTGCTCTTCCTCTTGAACCTCTTATCTCCCTAACCTTGTACCTTTTTATCGGCTGTCCTCTGTGTCTGCAATGCACTCCCTCTTCATCTCCATCTCTTGGGTTCCTAGTCTCCTTCAAGAGTCAGCTCAAATTCCATCTTCTGCAAAAGGTATTTCCTGGTCCCCCCCCCACTTCTAATGCCTTACCTCTGAAATTACATTTATTTACAACATACATATCTTATGTGTATATAGCTATTTGCATGTTGTCTCACTCGTTAGAATATTAGTTCCCTGAGGGCAAGTGGGTCTTGTTTTTGCCTTTCAGTATATCCCTTAATACAGTGTCTAGCACATAGGAAGTGCTTAATAAATGCTTGTTGACAGTTTGATGTGCTCTATACCAAATACTAACTTTTTGGCTTCTATTTCAAGACCCTGACACCTGTTATCTCACTACCTCCACCTCACGCTCCATTTCAGTCACCTAAATCTGCTTCCATTCTCAGGACGTCATTGGCTTACCTTTGATTTGGAGTATTTGCATATGCAATCTTATCTTCCTGAAATGCCCTGTACTTCTTCTCTGTAACCAAAGCCATACTATCTCCATTTCATGATTCGATGCTTCCACTAAACCTTTCTTGACTGGTCAAACCATAATGCTGTGTTCAGGTCTCTATTTTCAGAAGGACACCAAAAAACTAGAGTATCCCAAAAGTGATTAGGACAATAAAAGGCCTAGAAACCATGCCTTACATAGAATAACTGAAAGAATTATAGACGTTTAGCCTACAGAAGAGCAGTCTCAGGAGGACAATGACATCTGTCTTCAAGTACCTGAAAAACTGTCACAAAAAGAAGAAGTAAACTTAATCCGTTTTGCTCCGGAGGGAAGAACTCAGGCAGTCTGGTAGGAGCTAATAGACTTCAGCTCAATGAAAAGAAAGAAAGAAAGAAAGAAAGAAAGAAAGAAAGAAAGAAAGAAA